TACACGGTCCCCTCCGATGTGCAGGGTCCTTCCTCCGGCAGCACCTCTGCTCCCCAAAAGCTGGGACCTGACTTCTAGCGGCAAGCAAGGGCTGCACCCTGCGCTGGTGAGCCCGCGAGGGGGTCCCACTTTCCAGCCCCATGCTGACCCTGGGGTCTCTGGCCAGTGTTGAGACCCTTGTCTCCCCATTCCAAAGCCGATTTTGTTCACCTGCAGGAGTGATGGCAGCTGGTACTCAGTGGAGATGCTGCCAGCAAGGAGGAAGCAAGCATGCAGGAGCACATGAGATAAGCCAGGAGAGTGTGACAGAAGGGGTTATAATTAAACCTGCCATGATACAGAAGCCACAAGAGGAAAACCAAGCTTTGACCCGGAGCTGGTGGGGCCCTGCCCTGGCTATCAGGGCCCCCCCATGTCACAAGCGGATGGTGCTGAGCTGGCAGCTTGAGCACAGAGGGACCCAGAGGGACGGAAAAGCCTGTAGTTGTTCGGGGAGGCAAGATAAGGGCACCAGGCACTGAACCTGCCCATTAAAAATAATTACCTGGGGAAAGCACCGCTCACGCCAAGTACCACATTGGCGCTTGGAGACTGGGGTCTATGGCAGCAGCTGTGGCACAAACCCAGGGCAGGGGAGCCCATGCACTGGGCGATGCACAGGAGGGCGAGGGACCCAGCTGCTGCAGCTCTTGCTGCAAGGGCACACGAGAGCTGCACCACGCCATCTGAAATGGGTCCCAAGCTGGGTCCAGCTTGAAGGGTCAGCTTCAAGCTTGAAGGATTGCGTAGATCAGCTTCAGAGCAAACACCCCTCAACAGGGCTCCGAAACACCAGGTTTAATAACACCTAATTAGAGCGACGATATTCTTACAGGAGAGCAAAATCGGAAAGAAATAACAAAAGGAGGTTGTAAATAAGCGCCGCCCCCCGCCCCCACTTGCCTGCTGTGGCTTGTAAGGTGAGCCCTTTCCTTTGGGTTTACCTGCCGTGCAGCAGCTTTCAGTGCTTTCCCAGGTTGCTGCATGCCTTGGGGTCCCTGCGCCAGGTCCTTCTCCCTGCCCTTCTCAGCATCCCCAGTCCCCAGTCAGCCCCAACCCAATGCTCTCCAGTAGTGACACCCCTTTTCCTCTCCCTGACAGCCTACTCATGGGGAAGGATTCCCCTGCTCTGCCTTGACCCAGGCTGCCTTGTCCTTAAACCCCAGCTGGTAGGAAGACAACCGGCCACATGCATCCTCAGCCTGGCCCAGGAAGGTTCTCGGGCAAGACTTGCTAGCAGCCTCCCTCGCCTGCCTTGCACCACAGCAGCAGATGGCAAGCCTGTGCATCCCTGCCTGGCGCTGCCGGCTTCGATCCCCCGCAGAAGGGGGTACACTGGTACAGGCTGCTTCCAACCATGGACCCAAGCGGGCTAGGGGCAGGACCTGTGATGGATAAAAAGTTCCTGCATCTGATTTTGGGCAGGAACAAGTCAGAGCAAGGAGAGGTGGAGGGCAGGGGTCCCACTCCTTGCAGAGCCACAAAGCCGGGTGGGAGGCAGAGACAGAGGAGCTTGCTGCCTCTGCCAGCACATGAAGCCGCTCCAGCTCTGCATTCCCGAGCTGTTCGGCAACGTTTCTGTGGAGGCCCGTGGCCCCCACTGGCTCTGCTGATGAGGAATGAAATGCATTTTGGGTTCAGACCGAGGGAGCCCACTGGCAGCGGGAAGGAGGCAGCAGAGGCACGCCGCATGTGCCACTGCTGTCCACCCAATAGCACCAGCAAAGCTACAGAACCAAAGGGATGAGGAACACCCTGCCATAGAAAGGGCTTTTTGAGTATTTTATACACAGGGCGGGCTGCTGCAGTCACCAGGCATCTTCTCACTCAACATCTTCTCTATATCTAAAAATATTCTTGAGTTGAACATAAAGCTGCTCTCTGTTCCTCTGCAGGAAAAGGAGAACATGCCACCACCAGGACAAGGTCAGAGACCACAAAGGAAGAGGAGGGGAGGATGCTGGATGGCAGAGAGGAACCGAGAGGAACCAGGCCATGCCGGTGTTGCTCCTGCCCTGGCCATTTCTGCAGCTTCCTCTTGCCCTCCCAGAGCCACCCAAAATCAGGCGTTGCACCGGAGGCACCCCCCCCCTTAGCATGCCCTTCACAGGAGCCACCGTGCTTTCCAAGACCTCGCAGGAAGATGACTGCTCAAGCCTTCCTACTCCTAAGCTCTTACAAAAACGACAGAGCTTAGAAGGGAAGGTGCTTACAACATCAAGCAAGCCCTCAGAGAAAAGGGAGATAAATGGTTCATTTTAATTCCCATATTCTACAGAAACAGTTCAGGCTCCAACAGTTGAACTTTGCTGATATTAATGCCTAAAGCAGAAACGCTCTCTGCTGCATAAGAAGCACCTCTTCAAACCCTGGAGAGATTTGTCAGCAAACGTGGCAATTAATCACACGAGGCTTGCAAATCTGCCCGCACACCTCCTCCTGCAGACCTCTCCTCTCCGGGTACCACGTAGGGAAGGAAAAGCCGGACTAGACATAAGGGACAGGACAGTGTGGGAGCCTGGTGCTGCAAACCAGAAAAATAAAGGAAAAGGACAGCAAAATTCAAGCTGTCCCTCTGGAAAGAAAAAAAACCAACCACACAAACCCCAAACAAACCAAGTCTCAATGAACACACACCAAATTTCTGCACTGGCTCACCTCCAGAGCAAGCAAACCCATTTGCAATTGGTTGTCAGTATGCAAAGGCAGATAAGTCACCAGAGCAGTGAGCCGGCCAGCCAGCAGCCAGATGATTAAGGCACTTTCTGCATTTTATGGCAAGCTGTGTGCAACCCTTTGAGCCGTGAGCATGCTCCTGAGCCGATCCCAAAATGGGGGGGGGAAGTTCTTGGTGGGGTCCAACCCCCTCTGGAGCCATCCCGGCTGCCTTCATCTCACCCCACACTAGGTGAGCAAAACCATCATCGTGGCAGAGGTCTCCTGGCTTGGGGCTCTGCCTAAAGGCAGGGCCAGCACAAGCAGGGCCAGCCACAGGGAGCCAGTGCCACACCAGCCCAAGGAACCACTGCGTCATTACTGGGACCACTGAGAGTAAGTTTTCCATCACATGATGTAACTGCTATATTTGTATCAGCTGAGTTTAGCACTGCAAGAACAGTTACAGAGGTTTTATATCTTTTAAAAAAAAAAAAAAATCAACCAAAATTCAATAGCATCAAAGCAACCTGCCGGCACACTCACAGCAAGTTTCCAGAACAAGCCACAAATCTTCAAAGGCAACAATTTCACCATTTTTAATGTGCCCATTCTAAGGGAGACTCCGGATGAGGTTTGGGTTTGGTGTTTTTTTGGTGTTTTTTTTTTTACAGCAACGCCAAATTTCATTGGGGAAAGGCCCTGCTCTGGACCACCCCCAGGCTGGGGGTGAAGCAGCACTGGGAGCTGGCTGCAGGAAGCTTTATCAGCTGCAAACCGCCCCACTGATGGGGCTTTCCACAGGCACAGGGCTGCCCGCCTGGCCAGCACAGCTAGACAGGTCCCAGGCCACCATGACGCCTGCCAGCAGCGGCTCTGCTCACACACTGGCATTTGTACAACAGCAGAAGGAACTGGGTCAAAAATTAACCCAGTAAGAAGTTGAATCTGGCTCTGGACAGATCCTCCAGTATGGGACTGGTATACACAGCAGGCACTGGGGGCACAGGTGGCTCAGCCTCATGATGATGGGAAGGCTGAGCCAGCAGCCCTGGCCGGTGACAATGCTGCATGCTGCTGAGCCGATTCAGTCCGCTTCCTCTTTCCCAGCTGCGTGGCCACATTGGACGGTGAGATGGTTTCTTCTAGCTGGAGCCAAGCTTGCTCCTGGGGAACATAAGTGGCTGGTGAGCCCAGCCCCACAGCACCTCTGCGACCACCCAGCTATTACCCGCAGCTGGGGCAAGATCATCCTCTTGCCCCCACAGGGAGGGCAGCCCTGCTCAGCGTGGGAAACAGGCAGGGGACAGGCAGTGGGGCTGGGGGATCACAGCCACAGCTGCAGGCAGCCCACAAGCTCACCCGCACTAGGGTGAATCAGCTCTGGCCATTAACTGCTGGCATTTCCTATGTGTCCCCAGGCCCGTCCACTCCTGCCGGGCATCCCCTGCCCTCCAAAGGGAGGGGGCACAAACAGTGGCACCCCCGGGCTGCCCACCACCAAGGTAGGAACAGGGGCAAGCAAGGGCAGGAGGATGGCACGCTCAGCCAGTGAGAAGGAGGGCGCCCCACAGGTCCCTGTTTCCCAGCCTTCCTGCTCCCCTTCCCCAAATCTGCCAGGACATGCCACTTCAGGATGCACCAAGCTCCCACCGCTGCCATTCAGTGAGCAAGCCGTGTACTCAGCTGGTGCTCACAACACACCATCATGTACATCGCGCAGCAGTGGCCGCTCATTTAGCGCTTGGGGGGTTTCACACCATGGTCTGCATGGGGGAGTTCGAACCCTTTACTGGGCAACCTGTGGGCTCCAGCAAAGCTAAAGATCCCAAAAATATGTCCCCTCCCCTTCTCAGCAGCGAGGAACAGGGAGAGAGGAGAAGGGAGTAAACAATTATTGCTACCAAATATGAGTCTAACGGCCAGTAATGAAGCCATGGCCGAAGCATGTAGACATCCTGCCAGCAGATTCAAAGGGCTGGGGAGCTTGCAGAGGTGTGGGCAGGAGCCAGCAGAGAGCAAGGCTGGCCAGGGAAAAGGCAGAGAACGTGGCAGGGTTTCCCTTGCCCAGTTAGCTGCTCCAGCCAGGGCATGGTGGGGACCTGTGATTTTTCCCTGTTGGGGGCCAGTCCTGCTCCACAGCACCCACCCCAGCCCCATGCGTCCCACCCCAGTGCCGTGCTGCGCCCCATCCTGGGGGGGGCCACAACCAGCCTTCTGTGGCAGGACAATCATTGGGAGCTGCTGGGGTAACCTCCCCTGGCTGTGTCGCAGTTGCGGGGAGCGCGTCCTCTGGCATCCCCACCCAAAATCGCACAGCGGGCTGGAGACACCCTTCCCACTTGCTTCTCCCCTGCATACAGGCAGGG